AAAAAAAAATCAACATTTTCAAATGCATACTTTGGGAACATGATCTAAAAATGGAAAACCTCATAGGAGTAAAACCGCTCGTATTATATTTTGATTCACTTCTGGAAACATTTTCTGAAGGCAAATCACCTCCTTTCACTGAAAACAATGGGGGGGACTTATTATTTTTTGTATAAGTTTGTATACTTTTTAAATAAAAAATAGTAACAAAAGTGTCAACGCTTTCCAGCAGGAGATGAGGAGATTGTTACTGGTGAAGAGGTGACCGAGGACACTGGACTCAGTACAGATTTCAGCCCAGATGAGTGTCAAGCCGTGGCAGTCGAGCTGAACCACGAGAGTGATTATTTCAACCACACATATTCAGTCTCACAAACTCCACAATTCAGTAATCCAGCAGAACGTATCCAGCCTGTGGAGAGCACACAGAGTAAAACCCTTGCTTGTTGTGACTCTGAGACGCCTGTGTGTCCTCCTGAGAGGGGATCAGAACAGCATAATGAAGATCTCTCGAGCCGTGGATGTCAGTCTTTGAACACAGAAGCATCTTTGAAAGGTTCGGAGGAAGAGGCTGATGTGGAGAAGGAAGGTCCTGTTGTTCATTCTGAGGAGGACTTTGATAGTCAAGGTGCATTAGAGGACAGTCGGCCTGTGGCATCAGAGACCTTTAGCGGTTCTGACTGTATTTCTGGATCTGAGTCAAATACACCGGAACAGCAAACAGAGCGATCGGTCGAAGAAGAAACAGAGAATGCTTCCCTAAACACAAGTTCTCCTGCTCAAACCTCATCACACCAGGAATGAACCTTCATGATGTTAAAAACTGAGAGAAATTCATAAAAACAACCTCCATTCATTTAAAGCCCCATCAGTTCAAATAAGTGTTCAGATTCAGAACTGTATGAAAAAGACTTGGGCAAAAGAATAAAAACAAGAACATTTGAATGTCCAAATGAAACCTGTTCCTTATTCCAATTAAAGGCACAATATGTAATTTTCGCCGCTAGAGTGCGTGTATTCAAAATAGACAAAGGCGTTGTTTGATGAGTGTGGAATCATGGGAGTTGTGGTCTTCATCCCCACAGTGGGCAGAAATCATG